AAGAGCGTGGTCATGCGCAGCTCAGACTTTGGCAAATTTAAGATGTTTAAACCTTCATAATCTGTGGCATGTCTTTGTTACTTTAATGATTTTTTGTTTCTCACCAAATTTTACTAGCTAAACCTGTGGGCTGAAATTTATACATATAAACTTATCTAACCAAAAGTCACGAATATTAAGTCCAATGAACTATTTTAAGCTTTGTAGCTCAAGTGTTACAATTTTGTATCGACAGCGAATGAATATATTATTTAAGAAAACATTCCTGCTAAAAATAGTATCTAGTGGAACCAATTATAAAGGCGTGAATTATCAATCTACCCGTAGCTTTCTTAGTGTATTTCTGAAATTAAACGTAATTGAGCATGTCTCAGCCAAATGAGCGAAAGTACTAGGGCCGGACATGGCCAAGTTGTTAACGTGTCGGGCTGCAAATCTAACTGTCTAGGCCTTAGGGTTCGAGCCAATATGCCAATGAAGGTCCTCAATGTTTTCAGTTGTGATGGCGTTATAACCTTGCAATTCATACCCGCTATTCGTTGAAGAGTACCCACGTAGGCGGCGAGTGATACTGGCTGATTTCCTTCATCAGGGTAGTAGCTCTAAATTTGAGTCTTGGGTTCATCTAACCTGGCCGTTTAACAAAAGTGTCGCATAAAGGGCTATTCAGGTTGAAAATATCAAATACTGAAAATGCTAAGTTTTATTCAGAAAATTCAAAGCTTTGTCCAGTTACTTTGGGTATAAATCTAAACTTTTCATCATTTTTATTTAATAAAGCTCCTTGGTGAAATCAGAATGAACTGCAAATCTGTTAGTCTCTGAGTATTACAGATACAAACCTAGGTGTTAAAATGGGAAGTAATCATATTCAACAAAGAAAACTTAACGGCTGATGATAGTTCTTACCTTGAAAATAGCTCTTTTTTATTTCATTATAATAGAGAGCAAAATGGAATTTCGCACGCCCGTTTCTAATAGAAAGTTAGGCCAAAATTATCAGAATGGAAACTAGACATGCTTCATTGCGAAACTAAATATGTGGATATTAGGACCGTAAACTCTAGAAATCTTTCAAGAAGTATGGGTTCAGACATTTATAATCGCATTCCTAAGGAGTACGGTGTCAACCGAAAACAAGTATGCTAGTTGATAGAGAACATATGATATGTGAAAAAATACTGTAGTTAAAAAGGCTGTATAAAAGAACCCCTGGTGGTTCTTTGGTATACTTACTTTTCTGATTGGGCCTAAGATCGAAATCAGTCCAAATCCTCACTATGATTTCTATATTTGAATGAGATAAAGTTGTAAAGACTTTTGAATATTTTATTGTGGTAAAATAACAATAAAAACACGCATCTTATAAATTGATTAAGGATTTAGAAGATCAAGGAAAGAAAGTTAACAAACAGAAGGAAAAATAACAAAAAGTTGTGAAATGTTAGTCTGATTTACTAATTACGCTCCATGAGTATTGTTACGACAGCAGAAGTCACGTGACTCTGGTAACACGTGATGAGTTTCTAGAAGGATCATGAAGGCGCGAGTGATTGCCAGACGCCCTCTATTTTTGTATATATAAGCCTGGCAAATAAAGCGGAGGGAAGGAGTGACGGCATAGATAATTGCAGATATAGGGACAGATAATTGAGTCAAGTGAGCGGTAGTGACCGTAAGTAAAGTGCGTGAATCGTTGTGAATTATAGCGTATGTTTAAGTTAAAGTGACTATGGAACTTCTGTGTATTGCAAAGATGTATTGAGAAAGAATAAACTAGTTTTATTTAAGAAAGGATTTGTATCGCTGAAGTTCTTCGGAAAGAATTTTTACGGGAAATTAACAAACGAACAGAGACGTAACAATATATTTATACTTTTACACGTATTCCATTGAATTTCTCGTTTGTTTGTTTGTTGTTAAGCACAAAGTTACACAATGGGTTATTTGTTGTGCCTGCAACGAGTATGGAAACTCTGTTTTTAGCATTATAATCCTTCAGACTCGCCGCTGAGCCACTGGGGGGGGGGGGGGCGTCTATTGAAGTAACACTTGGAAAGAGAGTATTTTAATTTTGTTTTGAGACAGACATTTGAGTTGGAGGAAGTTTTTGAAATTGTCGAATGAATATGATTGTGGCCTATTGTAGTGTTAAAAGTAAAGTTCTGGAAAGTCGCAGAACAATTACACAAACTTCCAAATACAAGTTATAAAAACACCTTTCAAACAGAACAGTGGCCAGATCTTGATAATGATAACACATCACATCTTATCTTAAATATTAATCATAATTATAAATTCTATATTGTTAATGAGTAATTTACCTCATTAATTAAAAATCTCAAAATAGTTATTAATTTCATGATTATCTACTTCACGTAAAATATATAATAATAACCAATTGAGGTTGCGCAACAATTACTTAATTGCCAGTTGCTTATGTTTAAATATAAGATAATTTAAATATAACCGAATTAACCTTCATAAAGTGAGGATTTCTGTGATGTCTTAAATTCAAATTTACATTTCATACTGGGACAATAAAGAAAAAAAACATGATGAGGGATCCATTTTGCCCAGAGGAAACGTAAGCTTCCTGATGGGATTCGAATCTCGTTGCTTTGAAGATGATATTTGGATTAGATTGTGTAATGCTGTAGTCGGCTGCAATATTCATTTCCTAAAGGACGCACCGATGTTAGCTAACTTTTTAAAAGTTTCGTTTTTACATATAGTAGCACCACGAGTTCTTTAGATCATACTTTATGAAGAAGGTTAATGTAATATTTCCTTGCATTACTTCTTATCAATAAGGTTCATATAACATTTCCTTAATAACGCCATGATGAAGGAGTTATTCTTACTGCCTTACTAGATTTATCTACAATTTATCCTCGAGTGTTTTACGACGTAATACTTAATGAAATTGACGCTGATGTGGGTGTCTTTGGTGGAAGAAAAATCTGAATTATTTCTTTATGTGCGTACGTTGATAAGAGTTTGATAAAGTCCAGGAATGCGTATACAGCTTTTGATTAACTGTTGTAGTAACAGCAAGCAAAGTTGCCACAAGGAAATAATAAATTTCAGTTTATTTGTGCATTTATGAAATGTGTAACCTAAAATTAAAGTGCCAATTTATGTAGAAGAAAACAAGAACAGGACAACCCGTTAATTGTACTTCCATATATGCACTCACATTCGGTAGTGTTGCCGATGTTGGTGATAAAGATTGTTTGTTTGTTTTCTGAATTTCGCGCAAAGCTTCACGAGGGTTATCTGCGCTAGCCGTCCCTAATTTAGCAGTGTAAGACTAGAGGGAAGGCAATAGTTATCACCACCCACCGCCAACTCTTGGGCTACTATTTTACCAACGAATAGTTGGACTGACTGTAATATTATAACGCTCCCACGGCTGAAAGGGCGAGCATGTTTGGTGGGACGGGGATTCGAACCCGCATATTGCGAGTCGAGTGCCCTAACCACCTGGCCAGCCCGGCCCGGTGATAAAGAACCGGAACACAGACCCGGCTAAGCAGTCTGGAGGAGCAACGTAATTTCCTCCAACAAATTTTGAGGCAGGGCTCCAATCGAAAACGCATTTTAAGCATAACACTGTGTACAAACCGCACAGTTAGATAATATTGTGAAATAAAATGTTCTCTGTTTTTTATTTGAAATATTACGCACTTCTTCAAACTATTATTTTGGTAAATTGATTCAGAGACTGATACGTACAGAACTCAAAACTAGAGAAATACATTTTTATAATATTATCATTGACAGATTCTGCATTAACTACAAAGGGGACTGCATCACAGTTGCGATTGTTCTATTATTTTTGTTAAAAGAAACTTTTAAGTTTTGAACTTCTGAACACATTAACAACGTACTAATAGCACTGCTACGAAATTTCAGCCCAATCTAAAAAATTAACAATATATTAGTGACGAAGCTCAAGGGTGTAAGTAAACAACGTAAAAACGATTTCTACTAATCTTAATCATACGTTTCAATTTAATAAAGAACATTAGATTACATTTAAAACGTTGAAAGCGCCAAAATGCTTTATATTTATCATGAAGTATATAAATAAATTTTGTATTTGACATACATTTTTGAATGTTAACTTACCACACATTCAGAAAACCAACACTTCCTTTTTAACTGGAATCTGAAACCTGGGCGTATTTTAGCCCTAATATTTGGTAAATAACGAAAATAACTGCCCGTTTTTGCTAAACTCTTCGATAGAATAAAGTAATTTTGAAGTAGAAAATGCATACATTTTACTTGATATATATATCAAAAGGGGGTGAGGAGACAATCAAGTATCCCAGATAATTTCAATTAATCACTCAACGTTCATACGTGTAAACTAAATTGTCATTGTTATGTTAGCCTGAATATTAAAGTAATAATTTTGAACAACAATGTTACTTATTCCATTTGATTATTGTGAATTTTTTTTTTTTCTAACACTATGATATTACATTCGGTTGAAATAGGTATCAGTTTCATTACATATTAGAATATAAAGTATATAGTGATGATTTCACTGGCTTTTCAGATTACAGTGAATTAAGCCATTTTTTGACATGTTTTAATTTTTAGATTTTATCACACTGTAGTTGTATTTATTTGCTATTTAAGTATTTTCTTGAGTATGTTTCATTACATATGCTCTGTGGTCGCAAGCTCGCTCGACCAATATCGGTTTGGAAAGACGCCAAGCTTAACAGCCAATGAGGGCTTACTGGATGAATCTATTTCTTTTGATGGGGTACATAACAAAGCTTTTTAAAAGATAGAAAGGGAAGTTTAGAAATAATAAATATTTGACATATATCAGTATCATACCATGGTATTTTAACGTCTTAAAAACGCTATATCTGTTAATTATTTATAATTAATCCTGTTTTCTGAGTAGCAAGCATGTTTTTTAGATGTTTTCCCCTTTTCACAGTGGTTGAGTCCATCCAGTTTCAGCTGATATGTCACTGCATGTAGTTGATTGATGTAGAGTTGGTGGAAGAGGGGATGGAGCTGTGATGGGATTATTTGGTTAACGTGAAGGTGTTCTTTGTTTCATAAGAGTTTTGAAAAGATGTAATATGTATTTTATTGAGAAGAAAAAATGTTTTGGGCGTAATCCTTTTAATCATTTATAATCAGTGGCTGTTATATTAGTAATATTTTGTGGCGTAACATTAAAGAAACACTGTGTAGCGATGAGTTAAATCTGAAAATAAGGTACATAAATAAAGCCTAAGGTGATCATAAATATAGGAGTAGTTTCGTTTTAATTATAAACAAAAACATAATTTAAAGCCTGCGGCCACGTGTACAACGTTTCATTCTTCTTGCAATGATCAGACATTTAACTCATAAGTTGCGTTCACAAACACTAAATGAGAGCGAATCATTCCACTCGAAGGTGAGTTTTGCAAAGTTTCAGTATTAATTTTATATCATTTACTAAGCTTTAGCAATGTAAAATAACATAGTTTATGTTAACAGTAATACATGAGCTTTACGTAAATGTACATTAGAAAATTATCAAAATCAGTTATTTGAATTAGTTAGCATATGGGTTACGTTGTAACTTTTAAATTAAGTTATATGCTTGGAAGTTAGGACTTGAAATTGAACTGTTTTAAAATATGACTTAAAATGTAATAAATCACTTTTAACCTAAATCTTAATGGGCAATTTTCATTATTAGTTAAGCATATTACTATTAGTACTGGTCGGTAGTCTGCAGTACCTGTGTTACTGTTAGTTAGTATTACTAGTGTAATGAGACTAAGAACCTGTGCCATGGTGTAATTTCTCTGTAATTTCGTAATGAGTAAAGAAGAAAAGTATGTGATTATGATATCACATCTGCATGATGAGGTAAGAAACTTAAACATCACTTAAAAGGTGAGAAGATACTGCGAAAATGTAACTATGCTCAGGATAAATTTGAAAATCTTGTGCTACAGTAGTGCCAACTGACCTAAGTGCTATGTTTGCAGTTATACTGTAGTACTATCATTAGTACTAATACTCTAATAGTAGTAATATACTAATAATATTTCTTTAATAACACACGTTTTTACTTCTCATCTAAGCAACTGATCATAATATTGCATGCAGTATATAATTTAATAGTAATACATCTGTACATGTAACTATTGTGTGGTTGTAACTGTAAGCAGATAACTTATGAACGAATAATTTTATGATGGGGTCTGAAAATTAACATTGCACTTTATAGTTGAAAAAGATTTACTGTGACATAAAGTCTATAGAGGCGATTTGATAAATGAGAGAGAGAGAATTCATGATTGTTTGTGTGTACTAGTTTAGTATTATTATAATGTATTGTGGCTACTACTGATTATATCTTCATAGTAATTTTTTAAAGTACTGTTTTGTAGAGTTTTTGTGACAACAAGTTTATAATTATATATTACATATTCCAATAACTATTTGTACTGGAAGTTGTGATGATACATTGTGGTTCACATCTTTAAGTTTTTTTCTTTTTTTATTGACAAATACCTATCAATGAGAAGTGTGTTTGGGTTTAAGCATACTGTATCTAATTATTCAACTCAGAATAAATTTTTAGTTAATTTAAATATTTTGTGGCTTTGAGATATTTTGAAACTGGTCTGAAGAACAAATTTATCACATAACTGTTTTTGGGAATAGTTTTTCTTAATTTTCAAGTGTACACATGATGTATCGCTAGATGTGACTGTATAGCTAGTGACTCCAAACTTCTGTGCTGGATAACTGACACATCTTTACTTGTCAGTTAATGTATTTTTCACTGTCCCTAACATTTTTATAACTACAATGATTTTACAGAACTCATATGCATAATCACAAATGCAGGGTATGGCACACTCTAGAAACTCTGATAATTTATAGATCCTTCAGTTCTTAATGTTTAGTAACTGGTATTTTACCCCAAGTCACAATAATTGAGAGAACCAAAACTGTATGCTTAAGCATGGTTTTTGAAAGTTCTTGGACATGTATTATTTGATAATGTATGTCAGTCATATGCTAATGTTGTTGTAGCTCTGTGTGTAGTTTTCTTTGAATATGAAAAAATTGTTTTTAAACTTTAGTTTTTCTGTACAATGTAAATTGTGAAGAAATGTTGATTGAAAAAATGAGATTTGTTGACCATTTATGGAATAACATGTTGCAAATGCAATTGGTCGGATAATCTAAAAATGTGTGTGTGAATTATTAATTATTCACAAATTTGAATATTGACAACCTTGTATAAAATATTTTGGTTGCAATTTTTAAGGGGATATTAGAAGAAGTAAAAAAGGTCTACATTTCCTGTTGTGCTTTAAGTAACAAGCATGTTCCTGTGAGATATGTGTGTTTATAGTACTTGTAGTGAAAGAAGTTTGTGGTCTCAGGAAAGTAATTAAGGTTTTGGGCAGGGTTCAGAAAAGGCCACTAGGATGATTCTAAGGATGGATGTGTGGTCGTATAAGGACAAATTAAGATATTTTAACTTGCTCTTACTTAAAGAGTAGGAAGACGGGTGATCTGGTTGAAATAAATTTTATTAAATGACCCAATAAGTTTATTTCAAATTTGTGTGTGTTGAATTCTGTGGGCAGTAATATAAAAGTTTAAAGATTTAGAAATGTTGGAAAAGTCTGCATTTGAGACAGTTTTATTTCTTCAATAGTGTTACTTTTATGGAACAAATTGGCATCTTGAGAAATAAAGGCAGCAACTTTCTGATGAGTGTGAAAAAGGGTTGCTGAATATTTGGATAATTGGGGCTGGATTTAATGATAAAAAGGAGACTGGGAGTAGGCACATTGTTGAACGGCCAAGAAACTCGTTGATATCCTAAAATTTATATCTTATTTACTTGGGAAGTAGTCAACGGGTTTGAATTGATGTGTTTAAAGATAACTTTATCAAAGATCACTGAACAAATATTTGACAAAATATTTGAGGATGTATACAGTTTAGACAACAGACAGAAATTCAGGACAGTTGTATATAGTAAAACGTTGTAGATGTAGTAATAGATATAACACTGAAGTAAATCCATATACAACCCATTTAAATTTGCATAGTTTAGTTTAGATAATAAGTCAGTATTATTAATTTGCATAGTTTAGCACACCAATTAATAATATCAAAACCATTATAAACTTGAACAAAGGATTTCTCCAACTACAATTTTTGGATTGAGAAATTGTATGTGCAGATATCTTCATTTGTTTACTCTGATTATTGGAAGAATTTTAAATATCACTTAGAGGAATTTAAAGTAATCTTATTTGGTCAAATATCTGTTATTAATTTAGTTGAAAAATTAAGTTTTATTCATAGGTAACCAATCTATATACATGAGACAACTGTACATGTGTAAATTGACTTAATTTTGAACTTCTTCACACAGCATTAAACAAAATAACTTGAAGTTTTGCATAAAGGCTTGTGAGCCTCAGATTACAAACAAAGAAAAAGCTTCTTAATAGCCCTCAAAATAAGGTTTTTTAGAGCTAACAAGTTTGACTGAATAAATTGATTTGAAAATTGATATTAGCATGTAAGAAAACATTGAAACCAATAGTCTAATAATTAAATTTCAGATCTTAGAAATCTTGAAACTTGTACCTAATATGATGGTCAAAGGGGTTTTTGGAGGGCTTTTAGGGTTACATTAAAAATTGGCAAGGACATGTAAATATTCAAAACTGTCTGTGCAGAAATTTTTGTATAGTTGTTACTGTGAATTTGTATGGATAACGTATTAGTATCATAAACTGTACTACTGAAGATTTTATATTATTACTTCTTCCATATTTTTTTTTTTTTGAGAACCAAAACATGGCATTATACTTAAAAATTGTAATGCCACATATTGAACTTTGGAACCTGTTACTACTTTTATATGTATTTGTTCTGTTACTGCCTAGTGCTTTTTTTTTCCCCCCACATTGAAAATATATTATGAATGTAGTATAGCAATAGTGATATGCAGGTACAATAGTCACTGAGTAAGACTGTCAAGATAGATAACTTTGTTATTAGACTATTGGGAAGATTAGATTGGCTGTTAGTGTTAATATTGGTATACTAACAAGCTTGGTATACATAAACTGTTATAGATATGAGAGATTAGATTGAAATGGTGTCTTTTAAAAATAATTATAATTAATAATTTAAGATGACACAACCTCTTTGGAATATACATTGACTTGATAAGTATTAAAATGTAAACAGTTTAGAAGCACCTAGTGCTTGTACCTACCATTCCCTCTTCAGCAGTGAGAACAGTCAAGAGACTAGACATGGTGAAAAATCAATGGAAATGTTTGCAACACTCGGTCATGCTTAATCAGGTAGAAAAACTTTGCAAAAAGTTGTTCAATAAAGGCGATTTCCAGAATTAGATTTGAGATCATGTAACTCTTGGCATGTATTATTATAATCTAATATAACTGATCACATTTTTTTACAGGTTTATAAAGTATTTTTGTATCTTTGTGCAGTTAATTAAAAACTTAAGAAGCTCAAGTAAACTTTTATTGAATAGCAGGTTCACAAAATAATTTTTTTTAAATTTGTACATACAGAATTGTCATATATTAAATACAATAATCCTATGACTCTTGACTTTACATTTTGTATGCGTATAACATAGAATGAAAAACGAAATAGCACATAAAAGCATAACAAAAGATATTGTCCATTTAGAAAAAAGTATGTTGCAATTCAGACTGTATATGGCTGGAAAGGCTCACAAAAGATAACAAATTTGCTATAAGATAAAATTTTGTAGACAATTTTTAGATACTTTTCACTATGTGACTTAAAAATGCATGTTCAGAGGTGGTGAAAACCTTTGTTGGTCAACAATTGTATTAGCATAAGAATGGGTAGTACATAAACCTCGTTAAAATACAACATTGAAGTTAGTAAGTGGATCCAAGTTTAAGTAAACAACAAAGGAAAAATCAAATTCAGTTGTGTTATTTCATTGCTTTTGCTTGTTTACTGATTTATGAACACTCGTAAACATGTATAAATGTGATTATTAAAAAAATCCTAGTACATAATAAATGTTTAATATAATAAAAATGTAGCTTAGTGAATGGTTTATATAAATTAAGTTGATTTGTCAAAAGAAAGTATACTATAAGTCTTCATATACATTATTATCTAAGTGAATAAGCTAAGGAAATGTACTTTAGTCACAACAGATTATATCAAAGATGCACAATGAATATAGAATATAACAACTTCTTGATAGGAATCTCAAAGTCAAAATTTAGTACAGAAAATAATGAAAAAACAAACTTGTCAATTATTTAAGGAAAACCTACAATATACACAAATGTCTTTAAATTACAGTACAAAATGCTAATAACTAAACCACTAAAACAATGCATC